CAGAAAAGCCATCAAACAGTAATACAATGTGCCAAATGTTATGAGAGTGAGTTTAATAAAGTAAAACAAAGGTTTCCAGGAGGAAGAACCTGTGGGGGTGGTCAAGGCAGGTAGAGTATCAAAACTCACAAAGGACATAAATGCAAGGCAGGCAAAATACAATGCAGTCAGTGACATTTAGAAGGAATTTATCAGAGACTGCTGCCGGAAATAGCTAAACTGTAAACTGCCTTTTCAAAGATGAATGGAAGTTCACTGAGACAACTGTAACGTTGAAAGGGCTATAGGACAAACATGAAATTTGAAAAATGTGTTGGATGCAATTCACAATGTAAGTTACCTTAAGAGGAGTTCCATCTCATGTTCTATTTCAAAGGACCCTTCATAAAGCAAGAAAGTGCTATAATACTCTTGCACAGATCTGATCATATTAATTCCTTGCTCAAAAATATTCAATAGCCCTATCCTGCCTACAATATTTAAACTCCTTGGTCTGGAATGTTACATGGCTCCCAGTCTGCCTCTGTTTTCCTTTTTCCCCTAATTCACCATAAGTCACAAGTCTTCTATGCCAAAGTTGCCCCAGATTATTAGCTGCTTTTAAACAGTCCCTGTTAGAACATTTCCATCTGGCCGTGGGCCAGTCTTCAGGACTTACATCAGACTTGCAGAGGTGTAGGACAGCTTCCCAGATATGACACAGACTAATTTTTAAAACGTGAATATATCCAAGCTTGCTCACACACACCTATAATCCTAGTACTCAGGAAGTTGAGTCAGGAGGATTGCCAGGAGTTCAAGGCCAGCCTCAAAAAAAAAAAAAAAAAAAACCCACACACAATATGAATACGCAAGTAACAAACACTGCAATGTGTAGAGAACTGTAAAAAGTCAATATTACTATGATGTACAGTATAAAACTAGGGTAGCAAAGTATGATCCTAACAAAATAGATTGGTTTTATATACTGCATTAAGGACATTATGCTATAGGCCAGTGACTTCAAACTACGAAGTATGAATGTGTTCTATGTCAAAATTAAACTATGTCATACTGAAAGTCATTTTTAAAACTGAATTAAACAGCTATATTCATTGAATAAACAGTATATTCAAGCATCAAAATCAAACATTAAAAAAGGTCCTTTGGAGAGAGCCATGCCTTCTCCCGCCTGGAGCCACCATCGCTCCAGCGCCAGGAAGGTAGCCTGGGCCCTGATCCACAGCGGGAAGGAGAGCCCCGCCTTCTCCCACCTGTAGCCGCCATCTCTCCAGCGCCAGGAAGGTAGCCACAGTCCCTGAATCCCGGTAACTCGCCCCCACCCCGTGCACTCTCAGACCTCCTGATTGTGCCAGTCTTTGGACCCACTCTGCAGAGGCAGAGGTGGTCATCAAAGGTATTTTTCTGAGTTCCCAACTTTGAACATCTTTAAAGAAAGGGCGTGGGAAACCTGTAATAGAACATTGTGGAGTTCAACCATTCAGAAGGATGGGGAACTCAATCTGGGCCTTGCAGCCCGAGGTCAGTCTGCATCATGGGGTTCAGCCATCAGCTAACTCAGATCAGGGGTCTTGCATCCTAGCTCTGTCTGAGCCATTAAATGGTAAATATACTATATTGAAAAGTTTGTTCACTGCAGACATGTTCTGGACTGCTTCTTGATTTCAATATAATTCAAATGGTTTAAGAGTGATAGACTAGTGACTTCCACAGGTGATCAGTTTCCAAGTTGTGCTTGATCATAATGTGTTGCTGATTGTATCAGTAGGGATAAAGGATTGTGGTTGATCTGATGAGCTGTTTTCTCTGAAGTTATGAAGATGAGAATGTCTGTGGGTAGAAGAGACCCAGAAGCTAGGGCGCAACTATATCAGGAAGATTTGGGTGATAACCCAGAGATTAAACCAAGGACAGTCCAACAACAAAAATTAAAATGAGAAAACACTTAAGCAAGACACAAGGACAGACTTCCAGTTCACCAATGGCAAACAGTAGGGCAAATGAGGATGAAAAGGCCGATAGTGAACCACCAGGACACCCTGAATTCAAAGCACAGGAAGTAACAAAACAGATCAATCAGGCTCTAGAAAAATTCAAAACAGAATTAATTTCCCAGATAACCATAGAGATAGTGAGCAAAATGGAAGTCGTGATTCGATACTCTAGAGCAGAAACTGACAGAAAAATAGATGCGCTCAGGACCACAATAGAAGCCATGAAGGCCCAGCATAAGAAAGAAATGGAAAAAATAAATGCCCAACATAGGAAAGAAATGGAATCGATAAAACAGATTCAAACAGATATCCAGGAGATTATACACTCCACTGAAAGTGTATGCAACAGAATAAAAGAATGCGAAGATAGACTCTCAGATATAGAAGATAAGATTGCAGTCAGTGACCATGAAAAGAGAGGTCTATTATAAACAGTATGGAATCATGAGAAATCGATCCAACAACTTCTAGATGATATAAAGAAGAATAACGTAAGACTGATAGGAATCCATGAAGTAGCAGGAGAAAATACAAATGACTTAAAAAAGCTGTTCACAGAATTAATGACAGAAAACTTCCCAAACAGAGGGGAAGAATTTGACATTCAGATAACTGAGGCATATAGGACCCCAACTAGCCACAATCAAAAACAATCTACACCTACACATATAATAATCAAGATCCCAGAAACCCAACAGAAGAACAAAATACTACAAGCAGTAAGAGAAAAGAAACAAATAACATGCAAAGGAAAGCCCATCAGAATCAAAGCAGACTTTTCAACACAAACCCTTGGGGCAAGGAGAGCCTGGAATGAGATATTTCAAGTACCAAAAGAGAACAACCTCCAACCTAGACTGATGTATCCTACAAAACTCTCTTTCAAAATGGATGGGGAAATAAGACACTTCCATGACAAAGAACACCTGAGAAACTACATGAATACCAAACCAGCACTACAAGGAATTCTAAACAAGATCCTAGAAAAAGACAATGAAGGCAACAACACCATGAGGCCCAACAGAGCAAATATGTTAAGGGACCATTTAAATATGTTCAGGGACCATTTTCATCTTCAGAATTAAGGATTATTTCAATCTTACATCATTGCCTTTTCTCTTTTACTTTCCTTTTTTATTTTATTTTAGGATTCCCTATTTTTAATGTTCATACAGAGATTTCTTTAACTGAAATACCGAATAGTTTCTCTGGTGTGAAAAACTGTAATAGTACACAGGATCCTAATGAGATAATTAATAATGTGAAATAGGAAGTAAAGAGCTAAAGGTATAGGGAAAGTGGGAAGGGTGGGGGAAAGGTAATAAGGGAGATGAAAAAAATATGAGAAATTGAAAAAATGGAAATGAAGTGTTTGTAAATGGGGAGGGGAGGAGGGGGTGAAGGGAGGGCAGGGACAAGGGGAAAAAAATGAGAATCAAGACCTAACATGTAAAGGTACAGGATCCCAATAATGAATGTAACTGTACTTTATACCTAGATTGTACCAATAAACTCAATGAAAAGAAAAAAAAAGGTCCTTTGGAGACAAGAGTACAAAGCCAAATGAGAAAAAATAAAAAGGGTGAGCTTGCCTTAGAGAGATCAAGATTTGTTGTAAAAGGGGTAATGTCTTAAGAATGAACGAATAAACTAAAGGATGTCCAGCTCAGTGGTGCTTGCCTGTAATTCCAGCACTCAGTGAGGCTGAGGCAAGAGGACCACAAACTTATGCCCAGCCTGGGCAACTAAAATCGACTAGGTGAGACCTTGTCTCAAAATGAAAAATAAAAAACGTGGGGGTACACAAACTAGAGGCCGTGCAAATAAAAGGAAAGGGGCGTGGAGAGGAAAGGAGAAGGGGGGAAAGGGATAAGAGGAGATGGGAGGAAAAGAAGGGAGAGAGGGAAAAGGTGAGGGGGGAGCTCACAGCAACAAGAGCAAGGGAGGGAGGAAGAATGACTAGAGATGAATAAAGGAATGAACAAAAAAAAAGACTTGTTCTTTTCTCACAGTCCTGAAATTAAGAAGTCCAGTACCAAGGGACTGGCAATTTCAGAGTCGGCCAAGGGCACATTCCTCATAGGTGGCATCTTCTTGTGTACAGAGACCCCAAAACAAACCTACATACGAATAAAAGAATATACTGATTCAAGTTATTCAATAAGTAGAATTTGTACAATTATAATACTTTAGATATTTTATAAGAAAATATAGGAGACAGTTGCAGTTAGCCTCCAGGATGACCTCCAAAGATCTTTACAGTATCAAGTCTTCATCCCCAGCTTCTGGGTTCCTGGCAGAAAGCTCCAGGAAAATCTTTGTATTCTTCCCTGGTTCTTAAATACAAGAGACCCGTGGACCCCAGGAGCTCCAGAATGATGTCTTTTGTATTCTAATGAGATGACTAGTGGATGGGTCCTGCACACAGCAAATAAGAGGCTGGTGGCCAGAAACACCAGGTATGATTACAGAGTTAGAACTTTCAGCCTCACCTCAGAGTTAATACTCAAGCACCAGAGATCTGACCAATCATGCCTACATATAAAAATCTTTGGGGAGCCTGCAGATTGGTGAAGACATCCATATAATGGAAGGGCAGCACACTCTTAACTCCACAGGAAAGAACCTTTTAGATCTCACCCTATGTCTTCAACTGGCTGTTCATCAGAATTCATTATTATATCCTTTATAATAAACTGACACTGTACATAAGGTGTTCTCCTGAGTTCTGGGAATCATTCTAGCCAATTACTGACCCTGAGGAGAGAATGATGGTAACTCCCAACTGACAGCTGGTAAGTCAAAGTACAGGAGGCCCAGATTTGCAATAGACATCTGAAAGGAAAGAGACAGACTGAGCCCTTAATCAGTGGAATCTGCACTAATTCTGAGTAGTTTCTGAATTCAACTGAACTGTAGGTCACTCGGTTCATGTCCAGAGAAATGAAAAACTGGTTGTTATGGGAGGAAAACCCAACTATTTGATTTCAGAAGGGTTCTGTGCATAGCAACAGTAAATAGAACCTATGAGCAGTACTGAGGGACAGTGTGACATTAGTTTCAGCTTATTCTCTTGGATCACTGACTGTGGAAACCAGCCTCCACATCATAGGACAATCAAGTAGCCCCAGTACAGGGATACAGGAAGAACAGAAGTTTCCTGCCAGCAACAGTCAGCCTCTCCTTGCCACCAGTCAGGTGAGTGAGCTATTCTTAAAAGCAAATCCTCCAGCAACTTGACCGTGAGATAACTTCAGCCCTTTCTGACACCCTGACTACAACCTTACAAGATTTCAGGACCAGAAACACTCAACCACATGCTGCCATATCCCCGGACCCACGAAAACAGAGGAATAAGAACTGATTTTTGTTTTCATCAAATAGGTTTATGGTGGTCATTTGCTGTGTGTCAATGAACAATTAATAAAGTGGTTGTCGATATAAGCATATTGTAGGGAAAGAAGTTCTTAAATATGACACCAGAAGTGAAACTTTAAAAGACAGGTAAATGTGTGTCTTATATTAAAAAGAAAAAAATTGGTAGAGTGAAACTATAACAAAAAAGAAAAGCCACAAACTGAAAGAAAGCATTTGATATTGAATAATGTACTTAATATCCAGAACACCTGAAGGATTCAGAGAGAAAAAGACATCATCTAATAAAAAAAGGGGGGATGGAGATGGAAGAAAATGACAGAAAAAGAAATTGAGATGAAAAATGAAATGGAAATAAACATAAAAAGGAATAAGAAACCCTAGTAGTAAATATAAATTTAAAATATAAATACTATATTTTTCATATTTCAGATTGAAAAAGGTTTGTAAGAAAAAACAAAACAATGGCAAAGGCATGGAGAAATGACAATTCTCATAAACTGCTGGTGTAAATCAACTGATAATGATCAGTTAAGAAAGCAGTGTCCAAAACCCAGAAGAGGTACAGGATGGGCAAACTCTATTACTGGAAAATACTCTATTCTGGAAAATTTTGCTCACAGTAATACATATGAGGAATAGAAAGAAACATTCATTGGACCACTGTTTATAACAGGAAAAAAACCACCACCAATAAAGGCCTTTCAACAGAATAGTTAAGTAGGGTGGTTTACACATAAAATGCCACACAGCAGTGAGTGAAGAAATCAGAACTCCATGTACAAATGCTACAATATTTTGAGAACATGATATTAAAAATATACTAAGGTCTGCAGGAGATATATGCATTTATGTTATATTTGAAAAGTTTCCAGTTCTATGCTTCTATTTCTATATATACAACTCTACATAATAAAGTCAATAATAAAAATTTATACATAAATGCATGGGGATGATAAACGCAGAAGTACATAAAACTCAGAGGGAAAAAATTAGACAGTGAAAAATAAAAGCCATATTTACCTTAATTTTAAAAAGATCTGATGGTAAAATATAATAAAGCTAGGAAATAGGGACATGAGTATTCATTTCATTATTCTCTATTTTTTGATTGAATATTCTGCAGACAAAACCTTTTAAACAAAAAGTAGGATGTTGCTAAAAGCTATGAAAACTAAATGGGTAATGTGGTATAAATTTAGAGAAGAAAAAAAAGTAAACTTTAGAATAGAATGAGTTTTCAAAGACTGAAAAGCAATTGGTTGAGAAGTAAATAATGAAAAGTCCTTCAAAAAGCTTAGAAATAAAAGCATCAAGAAAGTGTGAAAGGCCTGACAAGAAAACAACAAAATCTATTTGATGAACAGACATACATGCCTGGGGTGAATCCAAGTTTTAGTAGAGCTGCAATCTTACAACTAAAGTCCTCTTAAGAAAAGGAATGCAAAATTATGAAAACAAAGTTAAATCCTAAACAGTTAGAATAAGAAGGCAATCTACAGTGAATCAACAATTTTTTTAAGTTGCCACATTAAAAAAAAAAAAACCCTAAATATCACAGTATTTTCAATAAATAACTCCCAAGCACATTTCTTTATAATAATTTTTTCCTACCTGTCTGTCCAGGCTATATGAGATATGACTGAAAAACACGGTGAATGTTTAAATCTTTTAAAATTTATTAAAGTAAGACATAATGCCATTAACCCTCCTCAAAATACTCCCTCTCACTTGAAACACACCTAGCCCATCGTTCCTAGCCCATCGTTCCCGCCACTCTGAAGCAGCTCTGGAGTCCTTCTTCGTAAGTGAATTTACTTGTGCTGTCATGGCTGCCTCCATGTCCTGAACACACTAAAAATGTCTGCCTTCTGAGGTCATTCTGACTTTGTGGAAGAGCCAGAAATCGCATGGAGCCAGGTCCAGTGAATGATGTGGATGAGGACACACCGTAGTATTTTAAGAGTCTGCCTTTCTGTTGGGTGGTGCTTGGCAGTAGCATTCAACAAATTATTGATCACACCTCATAAGGACACTCACAAAAGAGGACTTCCAGAATTGCTTCCAAAAGTGGGAATAACTATGAGGTAACTGTTTGAACTCTTAAAGGGGACTGGTGACAATATGTCTCTTACTGTACTGCATTTGTAAATTTAAATATTCACCATTATTTTGATCACCCTTTGTGTAGTACTTCGTTCTTCATACAACAATTACTCTGTATAACATTTCTAATATAGAGACCAGAAAAAAAACTTTGGCCTTTTACTTAGAATGAGACTGAAAATTTGTTGTTGTTGTTGTTTTCCTTATTGATAGCTTCTAAACATTGGTGTCATGTGTTTTCTTCCTGTATCAGTTCCTAATGCTACACAAGCTCTGGGCCTGCACTTTGATGTAGGGATGCAGCTGAGTTGGCAGCGTGGACAGTCACAACATTCCTGAGAGATACTACATCAGTTCAGCTAGCAAGACAAAAGTGAATGTATCCCACTCATCCTCTCCTCAGGATTCCAAAATTGCCTGTGCCCACTCCAAACTCAACCCAAAAGGACTAGAGGTGTGGCAGGAAGTGACCTTAACTATTTAGGTTCAGCTTCAGAAAGGCCTTGGGTGAGAGGCCTTAAGCTACATTAGCTTTAGGGGAAGTCTAACCCTGTCCAGATCATTCTGAGTGATAAATCACAAACAATTTGGATTTTTTTCTTCTACATGAGACCAAGTGGTAGGTTTTAATCAAGGGATCTAAATTATGTTTTATTAAGAACACACTGAGATATGTGTTCTTTTTAAATGCACTGTGAATACACTAATCTTAGGCTATCCTCTAACCCTGTTAAAAAAGGGTATTCAAGCACAAATTAGAACAAAGTTATGATTTCACCTTCTGAAAATATGAATTTTTCTCTTTCTCCTATCTCTAGATTTGGAATCCTTAGATGTACAAGTCCCATGGTTCCCATCTATCTCCTCCCCAAATGACCTCTGCTTGAAAATAAAAGAAAGAAATTCTTAAAATAAAAGTAACAAATACATTCATGAAGGACTTCTAGAACTGCTTCAGAAAGTGGTGGGAACTATAGGATAATTGTGTTGGCAGTAAGAGGGAGTATTTTGAGGAGCTTTAATGGCAATATGTCTTTTATTGTAATAAATTAAAAGTAATACAGGGCTGGGGATTTAGCACAGTGGTTCGGCGGCCTGCCTCACAAGCGCAAGGACCCAAGTTCAATCCGCAGTACCAAAAAAAAAAAAAAAAAAAAAAAAAAAAAAAAAAAGTAATAAATTCTAGAAATTTATTGTTAAGAGTATTAACAGCTAATTAATATAATAGCAAGGTAGTCAGTTACTGTCTTTTTACAGACATTTTAGGAATAGAAGCACTGTTCCAGCTACATAACCCCAGTTTTAAAAGCCTGGCTTTTCCATTGGTTCAGGGGGACCCTCAATATTTTCAATGAATCCCCTTTCTGCTCAAACTGGGGAAACAGAACAGGCAACTTAGTGTTTTTTTGATACCGGGGATAGAAGGGGCAACTTCAATGTTGACAAACAATTGACAACTGTGAATCTAACAAGGATGTAATATGCAAATAATAGTAAACCAGTCAATGTGAGCCCTGAAGTTATTAAAAGTTCAGGAGGTGGAGATGGCAAAAGTTATTAGAAGCCATTGAAGGAGGTGGGGGGCATTCCTTAGCCTTTGGAACTTAGGCACAGGACTCCTGCTCTGTCCTTGGATCTGTAGTTCAGATGTAGCATCATGAAGAGAAGCACAGCACAGCAGCTCCTCACCACATAGTTATCCCTGCTACTGAAATGCTAAAGGAACTACTGATACCTAGAAAGTGAAACTAAGAAGGAAAAAAAAAAAGAGCCATACATGAATTTGAGAAAACACTAAATTCATAGAAGAGCATAATACAGAAAGAACATTTCAGAGTAGGAGAGCAAGTAGAAGCAAGGAAGGATCAGGACGTAAGGAAAACCTAGATCCTGTGGTGGTTAGTGTGGAAGATTGCCAGCCATCAACCTCACCCACAAGTAATCTTTGTAGCTAAATAATAAAGACTGTGACAATGTATTACACATTCAAATCTAACTGCCTACTACCAAAACTTTAACCTAATGAGATAACTTGTAAGAAGCTAAAATAATCAAAAATTCTGATCTAGGAAAAAAAATCTGCAGAAAAGGAAAAATAAATGCTGCACATGTATAGGTTTAGATTAACTAGATCAAGCCTGTTAAGAAAAGCTAGCCTCTAAATCCCCTCTCCAACATGTCCTTTTGTGAAAGCTTTCTTAAATTTAATTTATATAGTGAGTACTTATAAGATTTAGGTCTAAGCCAAGCATGGTAGCACACACCTATAATTCCAGCACTCTGTGAGGTTAACATGGGAAGACCACAAGTTCAAGCCATGCTTGGGCAACTTACAGTGTATCCTTGTCTCAAAATTAAAAACAAAGGGCTGAGAAAAAAAATAAGAAAAAAATAAAACAAAACAAAACAAAAAACAAAGGGCTGAGAATTTAGCTTAGTGCAAAAACAGTATCGAAAAAAAAAATAGATCTCTTTCCATCTAGAATCTTCTATGCTTCCTAATCACACCATCTCAACATGATTAGCATTATGACTGCACAGGATATTCAGAGCTCAGCCAAGCAGTAAACAATAATTACCTTATACAGATACATTTTTGTTTTCCTTAGAATATATGGTTTCTCATTTACTTAAATTTTCTACATACTTATCCCTATGTACTTACCTACCATACATTTATCCTCATTCACCCCATACTCTCCAGTCTGAGAAAATTC